ACCCACTAGGCCAAATGCCCATCCCAGCTCTGCCTGATTTTTGGCATTGCCTACAGTAGATGTCCAGCATGATCACCTGCAACATGACAGGATCCTTTGCCACCAGCAAAGGACACAACAGGTTTGCTCCTTTTTTTTTTTTTTTTTTTTTTTTTTGACAGGCAGAATGGACAGAGAGAGAGAGAGAGAGAGAGAGAGAGAAAGGTCTTCCTTTGCCGTTGGTTCACCTTCCAATGGCTGCCGCGGCCGGCGTGCTGCGGCCAGCGCATCACGCTGATCCGAAGCCAGGAGCCAAGTGCTTCTCCTGGTCTCCCATGCGGGTGCAGGGCCCAAGCACTTGGGCCATCCTCCACTGCACTCCCTGGCCACAGCAGAGAGCTGGCCTGGAAGAGGGGCAACCGGGACAGAATCCGGTGGCCCGACTGTAACTAGAACCCGGTGTGCCGGTGCCGCTAGGCGGAGGATTAGCCTATTGAGCCACGGCGCCAGCCTAACAAGTTTGCTCTTGTCTTGCCCTGAGGTTGCCCAGAGGGGTGAAGCTCTGAGAGCCAGTGGATAGCCTTACCTAAGTGCCAATGACGGCCAGAGTCCCCCAGCGCAAAGGAGACTGCTCCGTTCTATTCAGGAGCTGCCCCAACCTTCCCCAAACGGGCTTCATTCTCCACCCATCTCAAGGCTCTGGGGATATGTAAAACAGCTGCTTCTCCCCAAAAGGTTTGCATCCTCGATTCACTTACCATGATAGGAGAGCTGACTTTTCAATTTTAAAACATATTTTTCAAATGAAACAAAACAATTCCAACATTCCATTCCCCTCCTGAAGACTCAAAACACCACCGTCACCTTCTCCCCGGGTATCTGTTTAGTTGACATTTTATCATAATAAGAAACTTCTTCTTCATTCTTGCCTGAGATTATGGGGAAGGAGAGAAAGTGCAGACATTCAAGTCTATTTACTACTCGGTGGCTAAGCTGAGAACCTTTCGGTGGGTGGCTGCTGTCTAGACCCTGTGTCGGTGGGGCAAGAGGAGCAGGAAACTGAAGAGTCCTTGTCTCCTTGCTGTAGCGCACTAGAGGCGGTATGTGTATTATACACGTGGCGGTCGCCATGGTCTGATCTAAAGGCTCAGCTCTGATGCTGAAGAGATCTATAGAACTGGGTAAGGAACTTAACCTCTCTGTGCCTCAGCTCCTAGTCTGCAGAACGCGGAAGCAGTGGGAGGAGTCAGCCGGGTTAATAGGCAGCCAGGGTGGTCCTGGTGGAAATTAAGGGTGCAAAATGCTCCCCCCCCCAAAAAAAAAGTTTTCTTTAGCAGGTACAAAGTGCCTGGCCCATTTCTTAGGAATTTCCACTTTTACCATGAGAATAGCAAGGGAGTGGGGATTCGGAGCTCCCAGTTTACTGTAAAACAAATTAGGTATCCCACCCTTCTGATGGCTCTTTTATTATGAGAAAGGCAGACAGCTTGAAAAGCTTACTAGTCAGGCCTTCCGAGGGGTTGTCCTGGCCTTGTAACTGAATGTCAAGTTTTTTATTCTTCCCCCAAATCGTGCTTAGAAACCCCAGCACCACCAGCCCCTTTGGATTTTGCCTCTCTTGGAGAGGCGTGTTGCCAGGTCTCTGACTTAAATTAAACTTGCTTTTAAATACATTTCGCTTTTCTCTTCGCCTTATCTGCTTGGAAATTCTTCCTTGTGAGACAAAGAACCCAGGTCATAATCTTTCCTCACTCGTATCAATAGTACCTCAATCAAGAGGGTTCAGTAATTAAATACAACAACACAGGTGGTGTGTTGATTCATGTCGGTGCGAGAATGAATCATTCCTACTGTCTTCTTCCCCAGTGGTCTTTTAGGCCTCACACGGGCTCCCATTCCATGAATTCTGGTAGGCCGCCGTTGTTGAGCGGTATAAGGACAAAGGGGGAGGAGGCAGTAAGATTTAGCAAGGGGGTTTCACCCAAGGGCCAGTTCATCCATTCCTGACTCCAGCAGGCCTTCCCCTAGCACTGAGGTCTGCTACACAGGAGTGCTGTTGTCCCAGCATCCCTCACCTTCAAGAAGCAACGACAAAATCACTGCCAATATATGAAATACACGACAGAGAGACAAGGGGGTAGTGGGGGTGGGGAAAGAGAGAGAGAAGTCTTCTCCTGCAATTTTCCATCCTGTTTGTTTTTAGGTACTGCCACATGAAATCTCTGAACTGGGGATTCTCATCAGCTTTCCCAGGACCCAAGGACATCGCTCTGGCTATAAATGGTGCCAGTTCTGGTGGGGGAGCTGCTGCTGCTTTATCTGGGCCCAATAAACCTTATCAAACTGCCTCGCAGCCAGCCTTCAGCGCTAAGTGGAAATGCTTGGAGCCCAACGCTGGCACGCAGCCCACTGCCTTGCCTGCCTTCTTCCTTTTTTTTGTTACCTTCTCCACCTCTTAAATTCAGGCATTAATCTCTCTTTAACACTTCCTAACAAGGGCTGGGCTTTTTAATGGGCAGAGTTTATGAAGCAAGGGAGAATTTCACGTAGAGTGACTATGGCATGGGGTGGAGGGGTGGGAGAGGCAGGGGCCAGGGAGGGAATGTTCTTTCTCTTCTATCGTTTCCAGAGATTCTCTGATTTGAGGATTAATAGGAGATTAGGTTCAGGGGTTAATGGTGTGCTTCTGTACTGCCCTGGGGAGGAGAGAGTGGGTGGCTGCGGACAGCTGGGCAGCAACCTCCAGCCAGCACCATCTAGGCAGAAGCTCAACAAGTGAATGATTCGTCAGCTTCTCTGGCTGGTGCCAGGTGAGTCTTTCTTCCTCTCCTTCCGTTCGCTCCATTCTTGATCTGCTTGCACCTCAGTTCTTTCTGGACCCTAGATTTTAGCTAGGAAAAGAGTTAGGTTCTAAATAGGGGCTGCCTTTCACTGTATCATGGTGAAATGAGTCACCTGGGGCTGACTCTCCCCTCCCTGTGAGTTTGCCGGTGTGGCGTACCTGGCTGTCCCTTTCCTGTACTTCCAGTCTCAGACTCCTGCTGGTGGGGGCATTTTCCCTACAAGTAGGAGACCGGAGCCAGGCTTGCAGGAGTGGAATGAATGCCCTGTCCATTGGCAGCTCTGTGAGTTCGGATCAGTTCCAATATGCAAACTCTGCCCCCAGGTCTTCCCCTTTTTGTCTCTGGCCGGCTTCTGCTACCTTCCATCACATCACAGTTCTAGGGCCGGCCCAGTGCCAGGGATTCCACGCTAGTTCTGCGGAAAACCTTTGGCCCACCCGCCAGGCAAGGAGGGAACACTCAGATTCAGTGACTGACGCCTGGCGCTGCTAAAGCCGCCTGACGTCGCGGACTGACTGCACTGAGACCCCTGGATGGCGCTCTTGCCGCCCCCATCCTCCTAGCGTCTGGACTCCAGCCGGAGGCCTGCACGGCGCTGGGAAGAGCGCTTCCCACCTTTTGCCCCGCGCCTCCGGCTGGCTCCATAAAAAAGAGGGGGAAGGGAGCTTTCCGCAGCTCGGGGAAGGCCGGTTTCCTACGGTGGCTGCTCCCGGGGGTTAGCGGTGCGAACTCTGCCCTCCGGAGTGCGTGCGGAGGGGTAATGGGGGGGGGCTAGGGAGCCCGGGAGGAGGACGCCCTGCAGGGCGGTCTCGAGCGTTTCCAAGCTGCCACCGGCCCCGAAGACTGCGCTGAGCAGTCCGTCTAGGGGGTAGAGGGACTGAGCCGAAGAAGAAAAAGTTTCTCTCCGGTCTCGACCTCAGCCTCCAGTGACCGCGGCTGCCAAAACGGGGCGCCCCCATGGACAGCACATCCTCGGGAACCCCTGGCACCTAGTTCAGTAGAACCCGCTGGCTCTGCGCCCCGAGACTTCTTGCCCCCAGATGCTCATGCCCGGCGGCGCGCGGGGTCCGAGGGGCTGAAGGCGCTTGGGCGTGGGCTGGGCACTTTGGCAAACAGGGGTCCTGAGAGGCGGGCGCAAAGCGGGAGAAAAAGTGAAAGGCTAGGGGGCAAACGCTGGAGCCCAGCACAAAACCCCGCGCTTGGAGCGCCGGAGTGGGAGAAACAAATCCGCGCCCAGTGGCAATGAAAAAGCTGCGAGTGAGGTGGGAGCTGCCCCTGGCCCCCCAGGGCCCGCACGGAGCGTTGCGAGCCCCCGCCCGGCCTCCCCATCACCGGCCCTGGCGTGCTCCCGGCTGGGCCGGAGCGCGGCGGCCGCGGCGCCCCAGCAGCAGCTAGGTGTCAGGCGAAGCCCGGGGCGCCGAGCGCCGCGCAGGCAGAGCGGGTGGGGCGGGGAGCGCGCACGGGCTGGGCCGGCGCGGGGGGTGGGCGGGCTGAGCCCGGGGACAGCGCGGGAGGGGGAGGAGGGGGCAGCTGTGGGCAGGGAGCCGGGCTCGGCCGCCAGCACTAAAGATGGAGAGGCGCCGGGGCCTCGCAGGGGAGGGGGCTCGGCGTTGACGTGAGACGCGGCGGAGGCGCCGCAGCCGGTGGTGATTTGCTAACCTCACAGCACACAGGAGTTGAGGGCGATGAGAGCGGGTACTGCGAACTGCCGGGCGATGCCGCCGCTGCCGCCGTGAACCCGAGAGCAACAGTTCCTCCAGCAACACCCCTCCCCGACGCAGGCACACACCCCCCGGCAGGCCCGCACGCCCACCCCAAGGCGCCCGGCTCGGCAGCGGTGAGTGGGGGCCCGGGGAGGGGCGCACCGCCCAGCCAGCGCCGCGCGCCCGGGCGCCCCGGGGCCGGAGAGGTCGGGGGGGTGGCGCGTCCGCTCCGGCCACTCGGCCGCTGCGCTTGGACCTTATTTCATCCCGCGTGTTCCTTTCCTGCGCTGCAGCCGCCGCCGCCACCGGTTGGGGTCAGCTCCAAGAGGGGAGCCCCGGCTGTCAGCTTGGGCGCAGCTGCCTCCCCAGCCTTTCCTCCGCAGGGCACGGTCCGGGTGAGAGGCGGGGAGCTGGGGCGCGAGCATAGGGTCGGGGATCGCGAGGCTTTATACAGCCAGGGGCCGGTGGGGGCTCATATGTATGCGGACGGCTGCGCGGGCGTGAGCGAGGCTTGTGGCTTATTTATTTGTTTATTTGCCGGCCGGCTGGGAAGCTAGACTGAGAGGGGCTGGCGAGTGGATCTGGGGCCGAGGCGAGCAGGATTGGGACACGTTTGGGTTTTGTTTTCTCTTTGAAAAATCCTAGTGGGCCCTTCTTTCTTGATTGGACTTGATCCCCCATTTTTTGGGGGGGTAGGGTGGAGAGGGAGAGAAGCTCCGAGGGGCGCCAGTGCTCCGGGCCCTCCTCGGCTCTCGGCAGGACTGGCCGTGGCGCCGGAGCTCGCCGTGCGCTCCCGGCCGCGCTCGGTGGGCGCCCCGGCTCTGCACCTGATGCATGCGGGATGCCTTTGCCACCACGGCGCGCCAGCGGCCGGCTCTCGCAGCCCCTGGCGCACTCCCGCACGCGCCCTAAACGCGCAGATCCTGCCGGCCTGCGACCCACTGAAACGCACAGACGCGCTCCGCACCGGCTAGCTCGCCGCCTCCCCGGGTCGCTCGCCACGTCCCCGGGCCCGGCACGCCCGGCGGCTGCTGCCGCTGGCCCGAAACCGGGAACCTTGCTCATTGCTCCCCGGGGGTCACGGCCCTGGGTCGGAGCCGGGGGAGCCCGGAGACCCCCTTATCTCCCCTTCTCGCACGAGTCGCTGCAGGGCTTTTGTGCTGCCCCTTCGCGGCGGGCCGGGTCCGTCTCCCAGCCCGCCGGACTCGTCGCCTTTCGCCTGCTCTCTTTCGTTTTCCCTCTCCCTAGCTCGGCTTCTTTCCTTTCAGGCGGCTGACTCCCCAGGAAAAGTTGCTTCCCCAAGTTTGCCGAACTCGTCTCCAAGTCTCGGCGGGGTCTCTGGGAGCTCGGGGCGTGTGCGCGCGTGCTCGGTGCCCGCAGCTCGGGCGGCTGAGTGCTGGCTTTCCCCCGAGCCGCGGGAGTGGAGCCGCAGCCTGCGCCGGCCGCATCGAGGGCGCCGAGCGGCGGGTCAGGCGGGGGGACGACTGACCCAGGGCACCGTGGTCTCCCTCTGGAGCTACAGGGTTGGTTTGGAGGAAAGGGGCACTTCCATTCTCTTCGGTTGCCTCCTCCTGTTTTCCTGCAACTCCCGGGTCTGCAGGAAAGCACAGGGCAGCGAGGCGTGCGTGGATGGCCGTCCCACTGTCTGTGGCCACGGTCCCCACCCTGGGCTGGGCAGCTAAAGTGTCTTGACCAGCCAACCCCGTTAACCCTTTCTTTCTGCTTGAGCTAGGTGCCTTAGGAGCCAGTAGGGCTGCTTTTGGGCGTGGTGAGGAGCAGTGTTTGAGGAGTGAGGCGCGCGGGCTGTGTTCGCCGCCGTCACGCACTGCGATATCTGCAGCCAGGGAGAAGTTGGGAGGGGCCTGGCCGGCCAAGGCTTCCTGGTACTCCTTGAACGGGGTGCGGAGTCCCGACCAGGCTCTGGGAGAGACCTTTGTCTCCCAGCCCTGTCCTCACACCATGGATGCTGGTGCCAGTGTCACTTGCAGCACCTCTGAGACTGGCCAGCATCAGTTGCTGCTCCTGGTCACAGGACTTGCCAACTCCTGGGAGCCTCTGGGAGACTTGGAGGCCACGCCCAGCCCAGCCTGGGCACCGCTGGCTGTTGGAAAGCCCTTTCTTATGATTACTCTTTGTAACTGCCTGGCCCATTGGCCTTCAGATTTTTGCCGTTCCTGTCCCTGAGCACTTGTGGACAGGAGGGTGAGTGTGGGCTCTTGAGTTAATGCTGTCTCTCTTGGCTGGCGGGCACACAGTGACACAGAGTCCAGATTGGGGGCTCCATATGCTGTCACTTTAAGGTCGCTGTGGATGGAAGTGACCCAAGTGAGTGTGTGCAGGTTACATGAGTGTTGCTGTGAGCCTAGAAGGAGCTCAGGGCCGGGGGCAGCCTGGAGCAGGGGACAGAGGCCCGGGAAGGTAACAGCCAATGGTGAGAGGGCGGGCTCGGGGAGGACAGCCCATAGCCTGGAGGTGTCTGTGGGCCACAACTGCAGCCTGCCAGTCCCTCATTGCACTTTTGCTTGGTTCCTGGGGCTGCCAGAGTGGGGCAGGGTTTAAAAAAGGCATTGTATCGGAGGTGAGGTTACAGGAGGCGGAGGGTGAAGCTGCATGCCTACACTGACTAAAGGAGAGGATCTAAGTCTTAATGCATTTTAAGAAAGTGCTTGGGCACCTCCTCGTGATGAATGTTGGCCTTGCTTAGGAGCAGGCTCAGAGGACTTCACTGTAATTTGCAGTTTCATTCAACAGATGCCATAGAGCAGCAGAGTAGGCATGTGCTGTGCAGGAACCTTCTCCTCACTCTCATCGTCCCTGGGCCTGCACGGGCAGATTCGGAGATTCTGGGGAAACTCCTTCTTGCTGTGGGCTTGGGTGAGCCAGGACATGATGCAGGGTTTGCATTATTCCTGCTGGAGATACTAGCCTGTCTGCCTCTTGTTCTCTCATCCTTTCTTGCCTCTTCCCCTCTTCTCTCTCTCAGTCTCCTGCATCGGCCCAGGAAACCTACCCTGCCCCGCCACGCAGAGCACAGACGGAAGGGGAGCCTCATGCCTGAGCCGAGGGCAGCGCCATGGATCTGACGAAGATGGGCATGATCCAGCTGCAGAACCCCAGCCACCCCACGGGGCTGCTGTGCAAGGCCAACCAGATGCGGCTGGCTGGGACGCTGTGCGATGTTGTCATCATGGTGGACAGCCAGGAGTTCCACGCCCACCGGACGGTGCTGGCCTGCACCAGCAAGATGTTTGAGATCCTCTTCCACCGCAACAGCCAGCACTATACTCTGGACTTCCTCTCGCCAAAGACCTTCCAGCAGATTCTGGAGTATGCCTACACGGCCACGCTGCAGGCCAAGGCGGAGGACCTGGACGACCTGCTCTATGCGGCCGAGATCCTGGAGATCGAGTACCTGGAGGAGCAGTGCCTGAAGATCTTGGAGACCATCCAGGCCTCAGATGACAACGACACGGAGGCCACGATGGCTGACGGCGGGGCTGAGGAGGAAGAGGACCGCAAGGCTCGGTGCCTCAAGAACATCTTCATCTCGAAGCATTCCAGCGAGGAGAGTGGGTACGCCAGTGTGGCTGGACAGAGCCTCGCTGGGCCCCTGGTGGACCAGAGCCCTTCCGTCTCCACCTCGTTTGGGCTTTCAGCCATGAGTCCCACCAAAGCTGCCGTGGACAGTCTGATGACCATAGGACAGTCTCTCCTGCAGGGGACGCTTCAGCCACCTGCGGGACCCGAGGAGCCGACATTGGCTGGGGGTGGCCGGCACCCTGGCGTGGCCGAGGTGAAGACGGAGATGATGCAGGTAGACGAGGTACCTGGCCAGGACAGCCCTGGGCCAGTCGAATCCAGCGTCTCGGGAGGACTGGGGGACAAAGTTGAGGAAAGGAGCAAAGAGGGCCCTGGGACCCCAACTCGCAGCAGCGTCATCACCAGTGCCAGGGAGCTGCACTACGGGCGGGAGGAGAGCGCCGAGCAGCTGCCACCCCCGGCTGAGGCTGGCCAAGGCCCCCCGGGCCGCCTGGAGCACCCAGCAGCCCCTGCGGAGAAGCGCCTGGGCATCTACTCGGTGTTGCCCAACCACAAGGCTGACGCCGTGTTGAGCATGCCGGCGTCGGTGACCTCTGGGCTCCATGTGCAGCCTGCGCTGGCCGTCTCCATGGACTTCAGCACCTACGGGGGTCTGCTGCCCCAGGGCTTCATTCAGAGGGAGCTTTTCAGCAAGCTGGGCGAGCTGGCGGTGGGCATGAAGTCGGAGAGCCGGAGCATGGGCGAGCAGTGTAGCGTGTGTGGGGTCGAGCTCCCTGACAACGAGGCTGTGGAGCAGCACAGGTAGGCCCTGGTGCAGTCTCGCACCTGCTGCTGGACGTGCAGCCCTCACAGCTTGCCTTCCACCCTGGCTGCTTCCAGGGCTGGGGGCCTAGCTCCCTTCTCTTCCTTGCTATTTATATATATTTTTTAAAAAACATACTTCTTCCAAAGTCCTGGGGGGATGGGGCATACCATTCACAGCGTGGTGAGGGGTCAGGTGGTCTTCCCAAAGCATCAGGGAACTCACAGGCCCAGGGTGTGACTAGGCCCTTCTATCTGTTTTTGCTTTTGGGGTCCCATTTGTTTCTTCTGTAGCCTGGTCCATCCTCTTGGACCTGCAGTGATGGACAGGGGTGGCGGGAAGGTGTGGTTCAGGCTGAGGCCCCCTGTGGCCTGGATCTGGTTACCAGGTTCAGGTACTGGGTTCCTCTCCTAAAATGGCAGCCTGGTGCTGTCTGCAGCATGGGAGGGGCCAGAAGCTGCAGAGGCCGCAGGAGTAGCCGCTGCAGGTGCCGTGTGTCGTTCTCAGGAATGTGCATCCTGACGTTCCTTGTCCCTTCTTATTTTCTCTTCCTGCAGTCACATTTGGGGGGTGGTTGATTTAAATTCTGGGTGGATATAAAAGTCTGGGCCTTGCCACCTGTGAAGTGTTAACTCCTGTCCCAGCTGTGCTCACCCAGAGTTAAATGCTGCCGGCATTGGCTTTCCTTGGGCTTCTGCTTGCTTCTCTCTGAAGTAACCATTCGCAGAGCTGTTAGGACAGGCTCGGTTTGCGACAGAGCACGTCAGGTAAAGCTACAGTTTTGTCCCACTAGCCCTGTAGGTAGGCAGGGCTCTTCTTTTGCAAGGTGAGATGCTAAGACTCGGACGTAAAGTCCACTTTGCAGGGTTACGTCGATAGAGGCAGGGCTGGATTTGAAGTCAGGTCCTCAGCCCCTTGTGCTTTGCTGAATCTTGGAGTCATCCAGTCTTGAAGCAGATCCTGCCTACGGAACAGGCTTTTGAGGATTGCTCCTGAGAAGTGGAGTAACTCGGGAGAAGGTTTTCGTGATGAGTCATGTGCCTGTCATCTTACCCTCCAGTCCCTGGGTCCCAGGACGGGGGTAAGAAGCCTAGTTTCTGTTGCCCCCATGGCTCACCTCTCCATGCTGTGTGGCTGGTCTTGCGTGGACCCTGCTCACTGCCCCCCTCCCCATGCCTCTGTGCTTCTTCAGGTGCGGGGGTGCGAAGTGAGGGTGGTGGTGGGGCTTCTGGGAGCTGAGCCGCTTGCCCTCCCCAGAACCTGCTTGGATGCTATGAGACTCTCCTGGGTGGAAAATAGTACTGCTGACCTAAATGCAGCCCCCCTCCCCCTTTTTTTTCCCTGGTGGGCGTGAAGAAACTGCCACTGAGGTGTGTCTTCCTTGCATGGGTACCGCTCGGAAGCAGACTGAGGCTGGGTTGGTTGGAGCTCACACTTTTTCCTCTGCAGGAAACCCCTCCTGGACTTGACCACATAGGGTAGTTGGCCTCTCCGGGGCGGATTCTGGCAGCCGTGTGCTGAGAAGTGGGTGATGATGGAACGTCAGGTTTTCCCCCGGCTCTTGTTGCATCTCAGTTTCTTTCCTACTCCCGAGACGGACACAAAAGACGTCACTCCCCTCTGGTGGGGCCCTCGCTCCTCCCAGGGGAGGTGGAGGGGTGACTGCTGTTCCTTTCCAGAGAGCCTGGGTGGCGGAGTTAGCCGCGTCAGGTGGTGAGAGCTTGTGACCCTGACCGTTATCAGCATGCCGAGCCTGGTGTTACTCTTGGCTAAAAATGGAGCTGGTCATCAGGGTTGGTGCTGAATGGATGAAGCGAGACACAGAAACCTCTGGGGCTGGACTGGCTCACGGTCACGGCGAAGGTGAACAGAGCCCTTCAGTCCCTTCACCTTGTTTGGGTCTTGTTTCTGCAGCATCCTCCGTGGCTCTGAGTTCAGGAGCTGCCTTCCAAGGGGTCATGTGGCCTGTGAGGTGGTGCAGGCATCAGCCCTGCTCCTGCGAGCGTGCGATAGTGGGAGGCAGGATCTGGACTTCTCAGTGTCCCGCCGAGGGCTGCTGGCAGGGAGAATGTGCTTTTGACCAAGGGGCCGAGTCAGCCGCTGCAGCCTAAGTGGCTAGCACTGGGGTAGCGCCTTCTGTGGACAGCTGCAGGGGTCAGAGGAAACCAAGGAGGGGAGACCATACTCCTGTGTGCACTCGACCTTTGCTTTGAATGGCAGCCTCTTACCTCCCGGCTCCGTGCACTTTGGGGAAGGTCTTTTCCTCTCTCTCTGGCCCTCAGGGCCCCAGGACTAACGTGCTGCTTCCCTATTTCCCCCTGTTCTCTGCTCTTGCCTCCCCCATCAGCAGCCTGAGAAGTGCTCCGTCTGGTGGAAGAAAACACATCACTGCTACCAGTGCAAACACAAAGGCAAGACAAAAACATATCCAAGTGGGAGATTTTGGTGCTAGGAAGCCATGGAATTGGCTGGAAGTATTAACAGTGATGACATGGTGAAAGGGCGGGGCTACAGGGTTTACTTTATCTGCTTTTGAAGCCAGTAGGCTAGAGTGCTGGTAAAGATTCAGTCCCCAGCAGTTCTTGCCTTTCTTGTTGGGAGAGCAGAAGAGCTTGGGGAGGAGAAGGGGAGGCAAGTGGGGGATTAATTATGTGTTGTGGGGTCCCCCGTCCAGAGCTTGCCCTGTGACTTGGTCCCAGACTGGTGTGGAGCGAGGGGGAGCACCTGTTGGCTCGGCAGATAGTTAGAGGGAAGCTTGGTGAAACGGTGCATTGTGGTCTTTGCAGCAGATGGAGAGATGTAAAAGCAATGTCAGATTGAGTCACCGACTGATGGGGAGCTCAGACAAGGATGCTGTCTGGGTAAATACGACAGGGCTTACTTACCTTGACCTAAAGCAAAGCAATCAGAAGGAAGGCGGAACAGTGAGAAGACCTGAGAGATCAACCATGGTCTCCGAGCAGAGGCAGGAGCAAGCTCTGGACCCCCAAGTCTCCCCCAGGGCAGGGTATGGTGTCTGAGGGAGGGTGGTATCAGGCTTTGGAAGACTCGACTCACCTCCTCTAGGCTCAGTCTCTTCGCTTGCTCTGTCTTTTCTGTCACTCTCAAAAGGTAGGAGCAGTTCTGCATTAGGCCTGTCTGGGTATGGTTGAAGGACCCAAGTACAGCTTACCCTCAGGTTATGTGCCTGTGTGATAAGTGATAAGCGCACAGGGAACACACTCCTCATTTCTAGCTCTTGGTCTCCTCCTAGGCTCATACAGTCTGGTCCTCATGGGTTTCTGAATGTAGTGCTGCAGAATCAGAGTGGGCTCTGGATCTTCAACAGGCCAGCCCTGGGATCGGCGTGGCGTGCATCCTGCCCGGACACAGTCAGAACTGGTTGCCTGGGTCTTGAGAAATACCCAGGAGCCACCAGGAATGGTCTCATGAGCTCCCTGGACTCAGGATTCAGTCCCTTCTGGAGACTTCTTTGGGGCTGGCTCTAGGGTGCATGAGGTGTCCAAGTTCCTGCTGGCCCTTTGCCTTGGTCTCTCATCAGATGGCCAGCTGCTCGGCTCTTGGTGGTTGACCATGGAAAGGGTTGTTAATGCTGCTTTCGGCTACTTGGAGACTGCCTGGAACTCTTGGTTCTCTTCTTTGTGCTGGGACCCTGTGATGTCAAACCAGGTTCTGTCCAGAGAGGGCCTGCGGTGGAATAATGATAGCAAGAGCAGCTGCCTTAGCTGCCCTTCATCCATTGCAGCACTTCCTTCTTTGCAAAGCACCTTGAATGAGTTTCTCTCTCCCTGCCTCACAGCCCTCCCTCAGTAGGTATAGGCCCCTGATCCCACCTGTGATTATGAAGTCTGGAAAGCTCTGAAAGCTAAAAGGTTTTGTGCAAGTTTGCAGCACACTCATCTAGCAGCAAAAAGTCTGATCTGATGGGAGGCTATATTTATCCTGCTTATTTTGAATATTCATATGTTTTGCTACAAAAATATTAATGTGTTTGATTTACAGAGTGCTGCCCTAGACTCTGGGGCTGTTACACACCACAGGCACCACAGCGCCTTTCTAAAAGCTGAATGTTTCTGATTTCTGAAGCACCCAAGGGTTTTGGGTGAGGGATCATGGGTCTTTTATTGGCACCACTTTGCAGATACGGACACTGAGATTGGAGCAGGTAGGTGACCTGCCAGTGGCCTCGTGGCTATAAATGGATACAGCCAGGCGCCCGGCTTGCCTTCTAATTCACAGTCCTGGGCACTGTGCACCAGGCCATATAAGAACATGGGCATTGCCGTTCTGGGTAGGATCCATCTGACCTAGTCTTTGGATGCCAACACCAAGCCCAAGCTGCGGCCATGGGAGGCTGCAGCCGTCCTCCTTGACGTCAGTGCGAAAGGTCAGGTGTGCACCAGCTTGTCCTCATGGCTATTTATGGCTCCTCTGTCATTCACAGATTTGCCCAAATCCTTTCTGAATCCATTTCCATTTCCAGGAAGTACCTTTGTGGGATGGTGAATGGCTTAAGGTTGTCACTTCTTGGGTTCCTGAAAATCGGGTCTTTGGAGCGGTCGGTGGTTGAGCAGACAGCAAGGTGGCAGAAGGCGTGAGTGGCGTGCCTGGGTGCTGTGGAGGCCAGGGCGCCACGCCCTGCTCTCCATTTCTTAGCTCTGTCACCATTGCCGGTACCTTTTTCTCCCTAAGCTTGAACATCTTCATTTACAAAACCGACGAACTCTTTCTGGATCGTTGAGCTCTTAAAAAAGTTTGACTCCTTGTGCATACACTCATATCCTCATGAAGTCTTTTTGGCTAATTGGATTTTGCTCTGTTTTGGCATCTGGATTGGCAGTTTGGCCAGCTAAACAGGGGGTCAGCCTGATTGGATTCTGCGTGCTCTGAGCGCACTTTCTAGTACTTCATCCTGCTGAGGATTAGGAGCCCTCTGGGGTCTAGATGGCACTCTGGGAACTTTTGAAGACGATTTCTTTTATTTCCAATGAAGGATGGT